GTGTTGTTGGTGGTGGTGGTCGTGTCTGTAGACGAGGGTGACGAGTAGCACGGGCGGCGGGGGGATGGATGGGGAAAAGTCCAACCGTGGGCTCCGAAACCCTCGTCCCTGTGGTTCTTCATGTACCTTCTCCTTTGCGACCCGACCTGGACCATGATCGCCGACTCGGTCTCCATGGCTGACGATCTCAACTCGTCGGACCTCTTCATGGCCGCTTCCTCCTTCTCCTCCCCCTCCTCCACCCTAACCAAGGCGGAGCTCATGGCAGTCGAGGCACGAAAAGTCTCCCTAAAGACGCTGCTGGCCGAAGCTGCGATCATGGCTCCAAAGCTGATCGAAACCATAGCCTTGGTCGCTCCTCTCCTTGCGGATGGGAGGAACCAGATGGAGATGAGGATGAGCATCAGCAGCTCGATCATGGCGAAGGAGTAGAGACCTTGGAAAATCATGTCGATCGCCAACTTGGTGCACGTCTCCCTTCGATTCCCGAATTCAGTTGGCGTCTTCGATCCTCTTCCTTCCCTGGCCGTCTTCCTTCCTCCGCGGGTATGACCAACCCGGTCTCCGGTTCGACATGTTGTCACCTTGGCCTTTGAACGACGCGTCGGGACGACCTTGGTTCCCTTCAACGATCCAACCAGCCGAGAGACCAGATGGGCCGGGCGGCGGTAGCTCTTGAAGGAGGGATCTGAGGATCGACCTCCGCCGAAGAGGTATGAGACCTTGACCAGAGTCAAGGTGAGGATTAGGGTGGTGAAAGCGAAGGCGCTGAGGAGGAAAGCGTCGACGAAGGTGTAACCCTTGTACTGGTGGTAGATGCAGACGGTCGAGGAGCCTTGGATCCTGTGACCTTTTACGGCAAAGGGGAGGGTGAGAGCCCAAGCCGTCACGTTGGAGAGGCTGAAGAGGACCACATACCATGCCAGACGATCCGACCGACTGGATCCAGCGTAGAGGCTCAAGGTCCTCAAGGTGAGGATGATCAGAGCACCCACGTAACTCGCCACCAACAGCGCCTCCCACAGTCTTGGCCAGACCCTACAAACCTCCTCGTCGTACTGAGGTTCCTTCCAGTAGAGCGTGGCCATAACCAGGGCGACGATACCAAGGTAGCGAGTGGTGAAGTAGCTCAACCTGTTCAAGAATCGAGAAGGGTCGAACCGATCGCCTCGACGGCAGAGGAGCGTCAGCAGTTTCAGGTCGAAAGGAAGGCTACAGACGCAGTCCCAGACCAAGGCCCCCAACCAGAAAGAGTAAAAGAGGATGGCAGAGTTGATCGAATCCACGTTCTCTTGAGAAAGTTCGTCCTTCATCGCCAAAGGTAGATTTTTTCTTCCTTTTTTTTTTCCCTTATTTTTTCCTTCTTATGTGGCGGGGTTGACACCTTTCCTCCCCTTCTCGAAGGGGTTTTTTTTGGGGGGGGGGGGGGGGCGATGGATCGTGGGAGGAATGGAGAAAATTGTTGCGGGGAACGGCTAGGGATGAGAGGTTGAGAGAAAGGGGGATTGGGGAGGGCGCAGAAAAGGTGGTTTTGGGGGGGAGATATCAATCATTCATTCGTCCCCTTTCGACTCATCCCGAAGTTGAAGTAGGCTTTTGTTTAAGTCCTGCTAGCTTCATATGATTGATTGAGACCGGGGGTTGTTGGGGGTCGTATCAAATCATCCATTATCTCTGCACCTTTGATCCCTTTCCTTTTTTTGCATCCATCTCATTTCGGAGGTCGGGGTGGGGGGATTCTTCAAGAGTTGGGAAAGCATCTCCTTTTTTATTTTCTTCAAGGTTGTTGAACAAGGTCAGAGGTTGGTACGGACTCCCAAGGAGGGCAGGTAGGAGAGGGCATGGAGGAGATTGATTCAAAGACGTGGGACGATTCACCCTCACCGAATTCATTCCGGGATCTGAGGTGGATATGTACTTTCTTTTCATCACTCGGAGAACCTCCTGGACCTTTCCTTGGAGCGGATCTCGTCTGTGAATTCGGACGGATGAATGACGGTCGGGAGAGAGATGGAAGAGAGGAGGCGTAGATGAACAGGAAGGAAGAAAGTAAAAGGAAAGATCTGTCTTGTGCCATGGGAGAGGCAAAGAATTTCGGGAACTGAGGGAGAGGTGATCAAAGAGCAGCCCACAACAGGCCTTCTGGAAGAGAGATGAAGCTCCGAGTCGAGATGATGGCCTACCTGAGAGCTGCCAAGGGGAGGAGGGCGAGGGTTGCCTTGCGATTCGATGTGTTTTGATCATCCACACCTTCATCATCGCAAACTTGGTTGGCTTTCCCCCACCCACCTCATGTCGATCGGTTCGGATTGAATCTATGGGAAGCTTCCTCTTACGGTGCCGAGAGAAAGACGACTCGAAGATGGAGGGACGGGGGAAGAGGGATGGATAGGAAGGGAAGTGTTGAGAGGTCCCGGTAATCTCTACGAAGGGCAAAGATGACCGAGGTTTTGCTCGCTGTTTTGTGTGGGGCTCCGCACCCGACCGGAGACGAGCTCAACTTGCAACGGAAAAAGAATCTCGACTCCAAGGCGGATCGTATGCAAGTATCGAATGAATGCATGGGTGGTAATCGTAACGTTGGACCACCACCACCACAGCAGAACAGTCGTGGATCCATGACCATGATCATGATGATGATCGTTGGTGGCGAGCAATCAACATCAACAACCGCTTTCTTCTCGCTTATTCCTTGGTTCCCTGTTCCCCCCCCCCCCTTTTGCCACTGCACCTCATGACACCACTCTCCAACCTTTCTTTCATGCTTGCTCCCCCCCCCCCTTTCCCATGAACGCCTCCCAACCTTTCTCCAGTTGAGATACCCGACATGACCTCCCCTGAAGCTGATGTACAGCGGCGTACCCCCACCCCTGACGCCCCATCATCCCACATGTTACTGCATCAGCCATACCCAAGACCAACGATAACGTATAAGAACAAGGGACGCTTGTGCGTAGGGGACCCCACCTATATGCGCACACACACACGCACAGGTAGCCGCCCCAACGTCAACAACACCCTCCCCAGCTTCTCGCAGCTCCCCCTCCCCTCCCTCCGTCTTGAACTGTACACACTCTGATACAGAACCCCTCTTATCACGAAATCCAATCCAATCGGTTCACACAAACATCTCTAGACGCGATGAGAGCACGCCTGCTCACAGCACCCTTCCTACCACTGCTTCTCCCACTCCTATCGGTCGTCAGCTCGTCCACCGTCCCTCTAGCAGCAGCAGCAGCAGCAGCAGCAGACCCTCCCTCCTCGAAAGAGATCCCAGGTTTCGTCAACAATGGTACGGTTGGATCGCTCGTTTGTAACCTTTCCAAGCTGATCAAACCTCACCGCGTCGGTGGGGTGGTGGCGGTGGGGGGAGTGGGCGGCGATGGTCAGAAGCACTTCTTCAACTACCAATCCACCATCGCCGGTCTGGACTGTCCAGAATCCAAGCCTCCCACCTACCCTTTCAACGAGATTCACCTAGCCTCCAAGGACGATTCCATCAGGGCTACCTTCGTTCCTTACGGAGCCCTCATCTCGCAGCTCTGGGTCAAGGACAGGTACGGGAACTGGAGGGACCTCGTGTTGGGCTTCGACAACACCACCAACTACGCTACAGACGGGATCCACCCCAACTTTGGTCCCATCGTTGGGAGGTACGCCAACAGGATCAGGAACGGGACCTTCACCTACCAAGGTCGAACCTATCACACCCCTCTCAACGAGAATGGTCTAGACACCCTCCACGGTGGTCTGGTTGGGTACGATCGTTCCAACTTCACCGTCAAGAGTCTCGACTCCGACAGCGTCACTTTCGAGATCCGCGATCCGGACGGGAACCAGGGGTTCCCAGGCAACGTCGTCGCCAACGTCAAGTACAGCCTAGGGTCCGGATCGGTTTGGGAGATTGAGATGGAGGCCGAGTCCGACAGTTTCACCCCCCTCATGCTCTCCAGCCACGTCTACTGGAATCTGGAGGCTTACAACGAGACCAGCACCATTCTCGACCACGTTCTAGAGATGAAGTACGCGGACAAGTACGTGGAGACCGACTCGATCCTCATCCCCACCGGCAAACTACCCGAGGTTCAAGGCACTCCCTTCGACTTTAGGAAGGCCAAGAGCTTCAGGAGTCTCTTCGACAGGACCGAGGGGGTCTGCGGGTACGGTTGCAAAGGTTGGGACAGCTGCTTCGTCATGTCTCACCCTCCCGGCCTAACCCAACAAGACGAGGACGACGACGACCGCCAACCCTCTTCACGCGACCTTCAAAACCGAATGACATCGAAACCGGTCCTAGAGATGCACTCTCCCAAGTCAGGAATCAAACTCTCCGTCCAAACCGACCAGCCCGCCATCCAGATCTACACTTGCGACGGCATCTCCTCCCCCAAAGGCAAAGGTTCCCTACCGAGGAAGAGATCTCACGGAGGCGACGGAAGCCTGAGCAAGATCTACGAGAATCACTCTTGCGTCGTAATCGAGATGGAGGATTACATCGACGGTATCAACCACCAGCAGGAGTGGAATAGGGACCAGTTCTACGGTCCAGGTAGACCTTACTCCTGGAGGTCGGTCTACACCTTCTCAAACGTCGACGAGCAGGGAAGGGACCTTGGCGTATGAATCCGCGAGGGGGGTTTGAATGTCAATCTTGGTTTGTTTTTTTCATCATCTTCATTATCGTCATTTCTTCCTTTGCCCACTCTGTCTTTCTCCCCACCCCCCTTAACCCCCATTTTCCCCCATTTTCCCCCTTTCATCCACTTAGGAGCTGTACTCGATGCTCTGCCAACTTTTTCGTTTTGCCCGCAATTCCTCGCGCAACCTCCCTTCTTTCTCGCCGCAGATCCCCAAGGATGTTGATACAGATCTGTAAAAGGAAGTGACAGTGAAAAGGACCATGCGAAAGGTTCTTCCCCTCTGGCCGTTCATGGAGAATGGGATTGGGGAAGGGGGGCTACTTTCAAAAGTAAAAAGGAGGGCATGGAGCAAAAAGGGAAGGGTTCCTACCGGATTCGAACCGATGACCTCTCGCAATCAGGAGAACCCAAAGCGAGTATTATACCCCTAAACTAAGGAACCACTTATTGTTCCTCGAATTTGCTATGCCATTATGTATTTCGCAGAGAATATCCTCCAAAATCGTCAAATGTTACACTAAACAAAACTCCGAATAGGTTTTCCCACTTTCTCCAAAGACGCGCACAAGCCATCCTTCTCTGTCCAAAAACGAAAAGGGAACAAGTGGGGATAGGTTGGGTTCGTCAACTTCTTTTTTATTTATTTTCAAACAATCTCCTGACCAAAACCCTCCTGACCAAAAGCACGCAAAATTAGGTGTAAACCCAAGGAAAAACACAATTAAAATGAAGGAGAGATAAAACAAACAATAATAATGAAGAAAGCAGGACCGGTCACCATGACAGGCGGAACGAACAGGGTTTGGGCAGGTAAAGGGATAGAATTCCAAGAGGGAAAGAGAGCGAGAGGGCCGGTGGGCCGAGGAAGATGGGTGCCCGGGGGGAAGCATCGGGATGATATGGGAAGGCTGTGAACCTTCTCCCTTCCTTCCTCTCCTCATTTTCATCCTGTCGCGTCGGGTTTTTCTTTGTATTTTTCTTTTTATGGCATGGATAAGGCAGTGGGGCTCGAATGGACTAGGATAGCCTGGAGTTGTATGTGCGGGTTTCCACTTTGGAGCGGATGGGCAGCTGGGGCTCAAGTTGTCCTTTTCTTGCCCTTCTCCCCTTGTGGTTCGCCGTCGGCAACGGCGGCGATGGTCTGCTTGGCGTGGTTATCGCCTTCCTTGCCCGCGTCGGCTTCGGCTCCGTTCGTTTCCATCTCGTCAGGTCCATCGATGGCTGCCCTCCTGCTCTCAAGCCACTTGCTCCACTTGCTCTTCCTCCTCTTATTCGCTTCCTCGGCTTTCTTCTCGTATTCCTCCACCTCAGTCGGGTCGCGCAAGCGGATGAAGACATCCTCCGTGTCGTGGACAAAGAAAAGGCGGTAGGTCCTGATGCAGACCTGCGGATCGACGATGACGGGGAATAGTGCAAAGGATACAGGTGGGTCGTAAATCATGTCAGATGAGAGAAACCACGTTTGCGACAAAGTGGAAATGGCAAGAGGTAGAAGGAACGATCAAGGATGGCGAAGGAAGTGTATAAGAGCGGGAAAGGTTCGAAAGCGGCGAAGGACAAAGGCTGCAGCCACTCACTCTGATCTCAAGACCGCTTCTTGTCACGTAGCTTGTTCCAGGAGGGTCGTTCTCAAGTGCAGCATTTGGTGGCAAGGTCCTGATACGAGAAGAGGCAACGAGTCAGACCGCGCGCGAGCTGGAACCGATCCATACGTGTGCTTTTCTTCTGCCCCAGTCATTCCCTAAGCTCATTGATTCCGAGCCTTTACTCACCTCTTCAGGAATGGGGCACCAGCTTCGGCTGGCAGACCCTCAGTGGGTGTCCACAGACAGTAGCTCGAGATGTAGTACAGCCACCTCTGCTCGGCTGTCCTGGCGTCGTCCAAAGTCAGGTCGTCCCTACTCAGCATCTGGATGAGGAGGGTCGAGGTCGATGAGACCCACTCGACCCTGAACATGTTTTCGTCTTTGCCAATCACGCTCTCGGCGGCCATACGATTGGCAATCTGCTGCCTGTAGTTCGAGACATCGGACTGAGGCCTGCTGCGGTCCTTCTCCATCAGCGTCTGGAGCTCCTGGCACTTGGAATCAGTCGTCAGCGCCTGGACGGTTTTGATCAAAGCCCCAATCACCTTGTCGAGAGTGAAGACGATGTAACCATCGATCCCGTACATGTAGCGAATGCTCTCTTCGAAGGTCGCTTGGTCAATGTCGCCGTCAAAGAGCTTTTCGCAAAGGTCGAGCAGGGTGTCGTAGAACCTAGTTGGAGGGAGCATGAGGCCAGCCTCTTCATTGTTGGGCGCGATCGGGCCCGCGGCTGAAGAGTTGGCCGTAGCACCTACAACGGCGGCCGGGCCCGTGGAGCCGTCCTGCAGGCCAAGCTCGATTGCCAGAGGGTTGATCCTGTTTCTGGGCTGCTTGGCGGCCATCTCCGCGGCGAGCACCTTCATCTTGTGGAGGCGAGAGTAGAGTAATTGCAGCAGACGGACGAATAGAAAGAAGGTCGTGTTGCAGAAGAAGTTGACCTGCCTGTGACTCCGATCTCCATCGGCGGACTCGCGACCTTCCTTGGTCACATCTGCGTCGCCGAGCCCGGCACCAGGGTTGCCCTTGCGGGAGTCGTAGGCGGCGGAAAGATCGGTGTGAATCCAAGTTCTTTCCCCCTCCGACGAGTCAACCTCTGCCTCGGGCGTCTTCTCTGGAGACTTTCGGTTTTTCTCGTCGACGGGCTCCTTGACCGGGCTAGAGCCGTCGGTCTGGTCTGCTTGAACAGGGGCGAGGGGCTCTGCATCCGTCATCTCGACGTCTGTCGTCTGAGCAACCACCGCATTCGAAGACTGGTTGGCAAGAGCCTCGGCTGCCGTGTCGGCGTCGGCAACGATGGCAGGGCTGGAGGCCCTGTTGCTGAGGGCGGCGGCGGCGCTGGCGTCCGTGACAGCGCTTTCCTCGCTCGAATCACCGCCCGCCTTTGCTGGTCCGTTGGTGGCGACCGAAGTCTCGGCCTGGCTCTTCAGGATCTTCTTCCTCAGGTCGCCGTTCTGCTTCTTTCCCTTTTTGCCGTTCCCGGTCGCCGCCGAAGTCGTCGAAGAGGCATCCACATCCTCATCCGCGGCAGTGCCTTCGCTCCTGTCATCGCCATCTTCTCCCTCCGTCTCCACGTCGCCATTCAGAAGCTCTTCGAACTCAGCTGCGTCGAGTTCAAGCAGCTTCGGGACAAAGGATCTCAAAAAGATTTCGATCCGTTCGCGGTCGGCAGCACTGTAGCTACCCGTGGCGCGGTCAAGGAAGCTGAACCCAAGCTTGAGCACGTCGGTGAGGACCTGCATGTCATCGATGACGTAGACGAGCTGATGGCGGGGTTTGGGACGAGGCAGGCTCGGGTCCGCCGCCAGCCTCCTCTGCTGCTGCTGGGTCCTCCTGGCCTCGATCTCGGCGACGAACGCCTTGGCGGTGATGGCTTTCTTATCCGCGGCCTTGAAGTTGACGCCCTGGTGGTCGAGGGACTTGTAGTAGTTTCTCGCATCCACCTCGCGCCAGACCTTGTTCCATTCGCGCTGCGCCCTCTTCCACTCCTCATCCTTCTGCTTGAGCCTGGCCAAGACAACGGGGACTGCCACGCACGGGTTGTCGTGGAGGGCGGCGATGACTTCCAGGCCGTGTTCGCGGCCGTACACCTTCTTGATGACCCTTTGATAGATGCTCTTGCTCTGGCCGCCGAGGCCAGGCTTAAGCCTGAAGGCAGCCCTCTCTTCCGGATCCATCGTCGTGATCCTGGCAGCGATCGGCTCGAGCAGGGCGATGGTTCGGAGGTTGGCCTCGATGTGGTAATCGTACTCGTGCCTCTCCTCTTCCGACCTGTACAGGGCGTCTTCGTAGGCGTTCTTCTTATGCGGATTGAAGGACTCACCTTCGGAGGCCCAGGTCGGATGGCTGACCCACGTGTCGTTGAGCACCTCCCAGCACATTGGGTCGCGTCCAGAACAGGCCAAGTTGACCTCCGACTTTGGCAGCTTGCGGTAGGATGCGCCATAGACCTTGCAGGTGCTCAGATCCACCCTCTCCCTCATGGATGCGGGCACGTTTTCGACGATGGGGTCCTCGTTGTCGAGCCAGCCGTGCTTGCCCATCTCGTAACCGCAAAGGCCCTTGAAGGTGGCAAAGAGCTCGCGATGGCCGGCAAGGAAGAGAGCAGCTCGGTCAACCATGGTCCTCACGTCGATGATATCCTGAGTGTAGAGGTTGAGGAGCTTGAGGAACTCGAGGTAGGTGGGCCGGTCGTCAATGTGCTTCTTGACTCGATCGAAGAAGGCAACCTCGTCCAGGGTAGCAAGAGCAACCTGGGGCTGTCCCATGGCGATCCCGTTCGCAACAGCACCTGGAGGAGCCATTCCGGCCGCCTCGGCGACCGCTATGCTATCGGGCCCGTATGCCTGGTGCAGCTGAGCGGGGTGAGAGGCGTGAGGGAACGAGGGGGAACCAGGAAGTGGCTCGGCACGTAGGGGTGGCGTCCTCTGCTCTGCTTTGTGTGAGTGCTTGCTCTTCTTGCTCTTTGTTGCGCTCCCCTTGGTCCCCTCGGCAGCGCCAGCCCCACGTTTTTTCCTGCTTCCCGTTCCAGATGCAGCCGCAGCCGCCGCAGCGGCGGTGGTGACTGCCGCCTTCTTCCCGCTCAACCCAGGCGCCATGTCAACCGCCTGGGGCGCATCTGGCGGTGCCCCTCGTGGAGGGGGCGCTTGCGAGGGCGGCGGAAGCTGGGCTGCAGGCTGGCCGACGGCTGGCGACTGATTCCCCAAGCCCGATGTGACTTGACCAAGCATGTTGAAGAGGCCGCTGGTCGGAGCTGCTCCATTGCTCGTGTCGGGAAGGAACTGTTTGAACTCGTCAAGAAGATCTTTTGCGTGTTCGAAGAGGACAGTGACTTGCGCATAGACGTCGTGGATCGGCCTCTGCTCCTTCTGGTAAGTCTGAAGGATTTCGAGGAACTGTTTGTAAGTGTCAGGATCGCCAGAAAACCTCTGCTTGATCTTGTTGACGTAGTTGATGGCGTGGTTGAACTCGACGGGCGGCCTCTTGGGATCATGCGGATGGAGCGCCGAGGGTGGCCCGTGAGGGCTAGGCATCACACCATGCGAAAGAACACCGGCACCTGCGGTGGCTCCAGGGGTTGATGGAGCCCCTGGTCCGAGGCTCGCCATGCCCATGGGGGACTGCGGTCTGCCATGGGAGTGGTGCGGCGCCGCATGGGGCATGCCACCCATAGGGCCAGGGGGCAAATTTGCAGGGTGGCCGAGGCCATGCGGCCCAGCGTGACCGGCGTGGATGTGCTGTTGGCCAGGACCGACTCCTGGGCCGCCAGCATTCGGATATGCGCCGGCAGCAGGCGCGTGGCCAAGTGCGTGGCCGCCTGGCCCGGCTCCGTAGCCGATGTTTCCTACAGGTCCATCGT